TACGGTACTGACTTACAGCACGTACACGGTACGACATGCCTTATTATGAAATGGCTTTTCATAAGAATGGTTATCGTATTAGTGGGAAACATACGGTACTGACTTACAGCACGTACACGGTACGACATGCCATAACATTAAAATGGCTTCCTTTTGTCATCCAGTAATTCATCCAATCACATCGCGTAGTTACGGCTACAGTACGGCTACGAATTGGCCGTATCGTTTTCCATTCAAACGAAAAACTGCTGTAAAACAGATGTGTTAGCATTTCCTTATTGTCCAACGACTTTACTATTTTTTCGCCTGCAGTATCATGGAGGAAGGTATCAGCGGTAAATATCTTCACACCGACAAAGCCCCTCCCTGCCCCCCTCCCCCTTCGTCAGTCAAGAGCCAAGAAATYATGTCTGAACGAATGCTCAAGGCAAGTACCATCGCTAAGGCCCTGGCTAAACGAGGAAACATGTTTCCAGGAACATATTTACCGCGCGCATGCTTCCTCGATGTTTCCCAGTTTAGCTACATGCGAAACATTGCTGCGTGCAACAAATTTTGCTTCCAAGACGCGAAAAAATGTTTTTGCTGTGCGGCAGAAACATTTCATGTCTCCAAGACGCATGGAAACATTGTTTCCCGATGTTTCCTGACAGTTTTGCCACCTTAGGAAACATTTAGGGAAACATGTTTCCTCGTTTAGCCAGGGCCTAAGATTTATTTTTATGTCCATATATGGGCATCATATAAGCCTTGTTCTCACGTTCTGTGTTTTTATTGGTCGCCAGGTTCTTCTGTTATTCAGTGGTTTCTGTTTCCTAATTGCTATATACTACGTACTAGATGTAGTGTTTGATAATGAAGGCCTTGGTCCACCACAACCAGTTGAGGAGAAAGTAGAGAATAAAGAACCTTCTCCATTGATTCCTGCCAAACTAGCCGAAGAGGACTGGAAACGACTGAGGTAAGCTGGCGAGATCGACGCGAGTGAAAAACGTCTGCGCATGCTCTGAATCCATATGCAAATTTGTCAAAACATAAGTAAATTTGACTTTCAAACATGCCTGATAAATTGGACTTCACAAAATGCCAAAACTTAGTGTCCATGCTTGAAACTTAAGGCTAATTCTTTCATATTGTGTTTGTTAAGACAGTATCTTGGTCTGACAAAAGTATACTCTCGAACTTTTTTGTATACTTGGAGAAAACAAACATTTATTTTTTCACTCAAACTCTTCAAAATTCTTAGAAAACGTGCTAAAATGCACGCATGCGCAAACGTTTTTCTCTAGTGTCGGCGAGATCTAGATTTACATAGCTATTCTCTGAGTCGGGATAATAAATTACTGTAAGCTACTATGGAATCTAATATCAATGCAATTCTCCTCATCGTATTGTTTCCCTATGTTTTCAGTAACCTGTTAGAGTCTGGTGAAAAGAATACACGACCGTCATCGACCAACCAGACATCTCAACGAAAAGGATTTCAATCTAGTCCATCGTATTCCTCAAACAGTAACCAAAATAACCCTGCTCTGCCTTCTCAGCCATCATCTACTGTAATTCCTACAGACACTGTAGTACCTATTGAAAGCAAAACAAGCTCGTCTAGAACGTTCTTTGGTAAAAGACGTGTTTTGTCGCCTTCAGATGAAGTAAGACGAGTGAAAGATTTTGAGAAGAGATTACGATACGCCATGGAACAGGTAACTTAACCGATCTACTAGTTACTGGTTTGACCTGTAGTGCAATGTTTCCCCTTCACAGACCACATGTCATTCCCTAGAGTATCATTTCTTTGTTTAATGGCTGCACATGAGAAGACGGATATGGATACAACTCAAACATATTCTTATTCTTAAGAGAATGACACGAGGTATAAAATGTGAAAACATTGCGCTTAAGATAAAGTGGATAATGTTTTCCTATCTCAGACCACGTGTCATTCCCTAGAGTATCATTTCTTTGTTTAATGGTTGCGCATGTGAAGACAGTCATATATGAAATATGGATCCAACACAAACCGATTCTTAATCTCAAGAGAATGACACCTGATATGAAATGGGAAATCATTACGCTCGAGAAGCAGTTAAACTTGCTAAGTTAATCAAATCCAACCATCCGTCCCACTCATCCTTTTATTCATTTATTCCTCTTTCGCGTATTCATTTATTTGTTTCTTATTTGTTTGTAGAGCTTGAAGCTGCAAACCAAACAGTTAAAAGACATCGATGAACTTGAAAACGAACTACAACAAGCAACAGAAGAGAGCCTTATTGCACATGCGCTTGAGCAAAGATTTTATAACAGTATTAGCCATACCCCTCCCCCGGAGAGTACGAATATCAATAAACCAACTAAGATTCGACAGTCTAACGCCTCTGCTGGTCGATCCATTAGAAAACCCATTAAAGGAATATTGAAAAAGAGCAAGTCTTATTTGAGGTAAAACAACACACATTTTATTAATTAGCTGTTAGTATTGACGACTCTTAAAACTCCAGTCATACGGGCTAAGCCTTACTTTTGAGATCGGAAAACAAAAACAGCAATTAGAATAACCAAACAAGCTACGCATACGCTAACAAGTCCGCATACGCTGGAGTTTTAAGAGTCGTCAATAGATTTCGCGTCTCGATTGGTTTGGTCAATTGCATTTCTGTGATTCATATCTAAAATTAACATTGTAAACTGTATTTTGTTATACTTTGTGTATTCATTAAGCACGTGGTGATTGTAGGCTAAACACTTAAGAAGCACTCTACATCGCTTGCTTTATACTGCACACAGCACGAGGGCGCGTTTTGCTGTTGAAGTTATAAAGTACTCTAGGATTGGTAGAACACGATAGAAGTGTTGGGTGAAGGATATTTTAAATACAAACGACGAAAAAGATGTGCGCGCGCGTGCATCTTATATCTCTTCGACATCACACTCAGCTGAGCACAGTGACTGCCTGACACGAAATTCTGACTCATTTTTATCTCATCTTTGAACAGCTCTTCCAGATAGCATTCAAGTACCATAACAACGGCTGTGTGACGTCACCATTCGTATCATAATTTCAAGATAAATCCCATGGACTGCAGTATCACTGCCGCACAAGGCCTAGCACAAGGCATACTTTTAAATCATACAAGCGTTAAGCGATATCACTTCATGAGAGCTTTTAAGGGTGGCGTTAATCGTATGGGAAAACGACTTTCGGGTTCACGGCTAAAAGTTCCTCATTCAGGAACGGCCCTTTTTGCGAGGAACTATACCGTAGCCGTATAGTTCCTCGTGTGAGGAGGATTTTGACTTATTTTATCGACTGCAATTGTTTGATTTTCCCTTTGCTATCCTACTAGCCTTTGCAACGCTCAAATACTTTTGACTGATTGAAAAGGGTCAATGTATAGGTTTGATAAAGCAGTTTAGGATATTTGCCATTCAAAGTTTTTGTTAAAAGAATGTTTTTCAGAACAAAAACTTTTCGATTCGATGAGATCTATTTTGACAATTAACGGCCATAAATTGGCATAAAATATGAGAAAGTATTTTTAAGAAATATTTTTCACACTTGGGGAAAAAATGATATATATTCAATATATTTATTATTTCAAAGAATAGCTGGTTTAAGTCGTTTTAAACTTTGAACAATTCGTTTTGTTAGAATCTTACTTAGGTAGTAATCAGACTTAGTTGCAGTCAGACTTTAAAATAGAATAGACTTTCATTCTTTACAATAGTTTAAAGTTTATTAGGCATTTAAAACTTGAACTATTTTGTCGCTTTAAACTTTAAACAACTTTGTTTGTTAGCATCTTGCTTATACCACATTCACAACAAGGCTTAAACATGTTTTAAAGTGGTTTAACTAAACAGGTTTGGAAAACTATCTACGAACACTGCACTATATTTGGTGAAATGATGCATGTAAGCTATCCTTTGTCTTGCTCTGACAATATTCTACAAAGTATTATATTGTAGGTTTCTAGTTTCTCAATTTTTTTCCTAATGAAAGCATAGTTTAACTAAACACTTTTAGGTGTGAATAGGGTATTAGAATGAAGGCATTTAACCCGTGAAATAAAACTAAATACTACTCAACGTTAATAGTTAAATAGACAAAAAAGAAAACTATAAAGTGTGTCAGTCTAATATCTTTTTTCTAATATCTAAATGCCTTCACTCTAATGCACGTAGTTGTAATCAGACTTTTAATAGAATAAACTTTCATTCTTTAATATATACTTTAGTATTGTTACGTTTTTAACCTTTCGTCATTGGGACCTTATTATTTGTGATGCAATAAATAAATCCCCATTTGACTTGTTCCCCTGTTGTCTGGAGTAGTAAGAAAGCAAGGATGATAGTACATTTTTAAATTTTCACACAATGAATGGGGGATAGAATACAACGATAGTTGACACAAAGGCGAAATCTGAAACCTATATTAGTAGGAAAGCTAAAACGAAACTTATCGATACCCTGAAATAATCTCTACTGAAGCTGATCAAAGTCAAGGCACGGCTAGCTAGTGAAATATTACGGTAGGATCGTGTCTTGAATGGTGTAAAGCACATTTCCCCCCCCCCTCCCCGGCCTTAAAGAAGTTCAAGCAAGCAAACAAAAATATTTATCACAAACCGGAAGTAATTTAATTTTTCAAAACTAGCGTATTACGTCATAATGGGGAAAAGTAAAAGGTATTACTTTGAGGACACTTGAACCGTGAACACTTACGGTTTTTTTTTTTTTTTTTTTTTTTTTTTTTTTTTTTTTTTTTATTTTTTAAAAATGCATCACTGTAAATCATCGGCTTGAGCCAATATTGTTTGGAATTAAGATTTTTCTTTGATTGTACTCTGTATATTTGAACCCAATGCTTATTTTAGAGGGTTTGAAAGGTTCGCGTTTTTTTTTTTTTTTTCTTTTTTTTCGGCGTTTAGAAAACTCGTCTGCTTAAGTTCCGGCCATGAATTTTCAAGAAAAATATGATGACGATGAATGACAATAAATTCATTCATGGCATCACCGGCTTAAGGGAATACACTAAACAAAAAATAAAACCCGACAAACTCAGCCATCGGGAACTTTTTCGTCCAGACGAAGTCATCGATAACCAATCAGATTAAGAAGATCCTAAACTGCCACACATTCCACGAGTCAATCGTCCAATCATATTGGAGAAGCCAATAAACTGCACACATTTCTAAGGCTCTTAATTTACTTATTACGCATGCACACATTTCACGTGTTTTATCTTCAAAAAGGATGAGAGGACGAGTTTGCAGCTCAGAACGGTTGCTCCTTTGAACTGTGCAAATCAACTCTACAAGAATGACTCAAGAGGTATTTTTGAACCCGCCAGAACCATATTTAACTGTCCTACACATTCACTACGTCCTTTGACCTTTATTTTAGGTCCATACTGCGTATTCACTGCGAAAACTGCCTTTGAATATTTGACTCTTCACAGACATTTAAACTGATTTATGTTGTAAACCACTACAATGGTGGATAATTTACGCATTGGAAAACTTTCGCTTGGATTTTTCTACCTAACAAGAAAGCATTTGACAACAGAGTATTGCATAGTAGATATACGAATACTTGAAGATGCTGAGTGTGCGAAACTGTCTTTGACTTCATGCACAGAAAGCGAAAGTTCATTTAGCTAATTGGGAATATTCTATAAAAGAAGATTTAATTCTGTCGTGTGTGGTTTTGCAAGAAATACTTAATTCAGAGTTTGTGATTTATATTTTATGAGAAGTATAGAAACTCGTTCCCAAATAATTTTTCAAACTGTAATTTTTTTTTTTTTTTAAATCCAGTGGAACGCGATATATCTATATGTCAAAATCTAATCATAACTTGGAATTATTTTTAGAATCGCGAAGGGAAATGCTCTATTCTGAACCATCTTAATGCTCTGCTAGACTCAGCATTGGATCCTAGTAAGTATTATATATTCTTATTTATTCTCTTTATATTTTAAGCACATTTCTATAGATATTATAGCTAATTTATTTTAACCTGCTCGCCTGACCTGTAGATCTGGCTGGAAGGGGATTATTCTGCCCTCCACAATCAAGTCAGCCTCCTCCAACAACCTACTACAATAATCCATATTTTAGCTCCTATTATCAAGTCACACCGCCGGACTCACGATCTGCAAGCCCCATGAACTATGAAGACAAGTTATCTGAACATCTATTGGTAAGACATTTCTAGATATATATTTTAACCTCGCTCGTTGTTGAATTTGTGTAGTTTCGGGCTTCCCTTTAGCAGTCTCGACATGGTATCGAAGTGAATAATATAAGCCTTGCGTTTGATCTGAGTCTTTTGAAAAAAAAAATCATAATCTGAACAAGCCGTTGAAAAAATTATTTTACTTTTTTTAAATAYCATGCGTGTGATAAACTGGTTGCTATGGTGATTGGGAGGCCATATTCGATGATAAAGATTTGATGCTGCTCATTAGACACTTGCAATTAAGTTCTAGTATTTGTAATAAAATCAAACAAATGCATCGCCGGAGTCATTTATTGTACAGCTATTTCAAAAATGGTTGAATACTGAATAGTGCATTCCAAGACCATAGGGCATTGTGGGTCTCGTTAATAGGTCCCTTTCGAATTCCAAATTACCGCTGTGTTCCTTGATTACAGACTCATTTGCACAGGGTTAGCCTTGAGTTTGTGCAGAATATTCACGTGTTCCAGTCAAGGTCCGTCGAGTTTCAAAGTGTTTGTATTGTTGAAGTTGTGCATTCTTTACTTTACTGTTGGTATTTGTGAATATTTAGACACTGATGTGAGGCTAACCCTGTGCAAATGAGTCTGTAATCAAGGAACACAGCGGTAATTTGGAATTCGAAACTGGTCTATTTGAAATAAAAAGTAAATATACAGCAATTAACTCTCTACATTTAGTATATTGTTTCAGATGGAATAAACTAGAAATAGAATAAATAATTATTATTAATCCTACTTTAGACAATGTCATTTTGACCCACAATGCACTTTGGTCTTGAATGCACTATTCAGTATGCAGTATGCAGTATTCAACCTTTTTTTTGAAATAGCGGTATATTTATATTTGAATTGCCAAATAAATTATGTTTATGCATGCTTGTTTTTCCCCTCACTGCAACCCGGCCGTATCCATGCACCCCTTAACCTCACACCCTTAGGATTTACTAATATATTCCTAATATCTACATCATAGCATAACTTAGCAACGTCAAGTGTCATGGGTACTCCTTCACCTCCAGGGAGTATGCCATCATCTCCAATGGGTTTCAAGTCCTCCCAGTCTCCTTGTGCTGCATTCCCATTCTCCCCCCTGACACCAGACAGTGACATCAGCCCCATCAGACCTTCGTACAGTGGAGTGCTGATGTCTGGGGATTCCACTGCCAGGCAGCAGTTGTTTCGAGCTTCTGCTTCTCAAGTTGAGCAGGACTTAATGGCAGGTAACTATTGCCGTCATGTTATTGACTGGTGTTGGGTTATAATAAGAGATTAGAAGCATGCGGTATATATTGTTGTCTAGCTTGGGTACAAGCATTACCAATATTGCAAAGAAAACCTGTTTCATTATGTAGATCATGTCTTTAATTATCAGGATGCATTGTGGACTAGCATGGGTATAAACAATACAATATAAGGTATTACAAAAGTAGTTTGTACCCAATCTAGACCATGATGCACCCTTATTCATGTGTTTTCTCATGTGCAAGGAGTGCAACTGTTAAACAAAGAAAAGATACTCTAGGGAATGACACATGGTTTGAAATGAGAAAACATGTAATGCCTGAGTGTGCCTGGGCCTTAAGGTCTATTAAAGTGAGTGCTTTGAACTTCAGTTACAGGAAGAAGCTTGCTTACTGACCCCCGGTGGGGTAGTAGCAAGATGTCTGGTTTCCTTGGTGATCTGACAGGACAGGATTGGCTTCAACGTCAGTCACTCTTACAGCAAGCCCCAGGTATTTTATTCCTGTATTATTATTGTTTATATAATTACCATTTATTTATAGGTCATATTATATTACTTTGGTTTGGAATTGATATTTCTGCGATATAAAATGGCGTATTAGTAACCAATAGAAAAAACCTGCATTGAGCTGGGACTAAGCAGTGCATTGTGGGATTGTTTGAGGCAAAATATTTGTAATGATTCTTCAACTATAGTTTCATTTCAGTATAATAAAATAAATGGTCTTGACCAACTGGTTACAGTGTGACATGTATTATGACAATATTTCAAAGTTGGCATCTCTTTTTACCCCTAAACTGCTCCACAATGCACTGTAATGCCATTAACTCAATCCAGTTTTTTTCCCTCGACCTCAGAAGGCCAATATTTACTGATTTATTTTTCCTGGTACAGATTTCATGAGATTGAACATGAAGAAATGGTCTGGTCAACTGCCTCGCAGGAACTACAAGAATACAAGCTACTCATCCAAAGTATTCCTGGGTGGAGTCCCTTGGGATATCACTGAAGGTACGCCGTAACATGTCTTGTGACATTTCGTACAGGTAGGGACCTTAAGCTGCAGGATGGCAACGACGACAACTGCAAACATACAATAGCACTAATTGCGCTATTCGATAGATACTCGTTTGAATGTACGAAATACTATGCATCATTGCCGTCTTATGCTGAAAGTAAGACGTGAAATGTCCTATTTTTATGTACTAAAGAGAACGGCTACGCCAAAAGCTTATCTTTGCTGATTTTCTTATGAGTAAAGCACTCCCAAAAGACGACATTTCACTCTAAAACGGAGGTGCTTATTGAGTAACATACTAGGTAAACTCAAAATGATAATACAGTAAAAGGTTGGAGCGCTTCAATTTTCCCAACGTTGTCGCCCACGTTGCCGTCCTGCAAATTAAGGTCCCTATTTTCTTCCATGGACCTGCCCTTAAACTTTGGGTCATAAGTGCTTGTATCTTATATTAATATTGCATTCATGTTGCAGCATCATTGCTGCTGTCATTCAAGCCATTTGGTAACGTGAAGATTGAATGGCCTGGTAAAGCAGATGGACGTCACTTACATCACCCACCTAAAGGTAATATATATCATATATCAAATATACTTTTAGGGGGGAGGGTGCGTGATAACTATGGTCTTCAGTGAAGATATCCTACTAATACTACTCTCCAAGTGTTAAAACTCTTAAGAGGGGTGCCATAATGGTTTATAATTGAGGTGCATGTGACTTCATAGCTGCCATGTCGGATGACTTCAACAAAAGATTTGGTCTTGGTGCCTTTTGTCATATCAACCAACATGGCGACAGCCACTTGTTTTGTCTTTTCATTCCCATGGGAAGGGATGCCCATCACTAATGGTCTATGATCCTTTGATCAGGTATAAATATGGCTAATAATATATTTTCTATCTATAGGTTATGTGTATCTAATCTTTGACTCAGAGAAGTCTGTCAAGGCTTTATTAACCTCTTGTACTCATGATTTCACTAATGGAGGAGATTGGTATTTCAAGATATCCAGCAGACGAATGAGATGTAAAGAGGTTAGTAAGTTTGACATAACCCAGCGAAGATAGTTATATAGTCTTTATTAAAAAAATGAAACATCGTTTGACTATAGACCAAATTCAAAACTCGCACCGATGTGAGGCTTAAGTTGTGAACAAAGGGATCTGGCAGGTTTCGTGACTTTTGAATCACGCCAGATCCCTTTGTTCACAACTGAAGCCTTACATCGAAGCACGCAGGAGGTGCCGTCACGCAGGAAGACACGCGTTTTGATTGGTTGGGAGCACGTGCTTTATGAGAGCAAATAGCACGCACGCTTCATGCTTCTCCTAACATTTCTCTCGTGTTCTGACGAACCCGCGTGCTTTATAACGGTACACAGCAGGTGCGCGCGTTTTCTATTTCTTAATTAAATATAGCACAGTTCTCGACCTATCAGAGCGTACTATCTAAAATATATATAACAATTTTGTGTTGATAGGTACAAGTGATTCCCTGGGTGTTGTCAGACACCAATTATGTACGTGGCCCTCATCAGCGTCTGGATACCAGTTGGACCGTGTTTGTTGGTGGTCTTCACGGCATGCTTAACGCGGGTAAATAACTTTATGCTTTTAGCCCCGTTTACACTAGCGATTTTTGCTGCGATTTTATTGCGATTTTTGCTGCGATTTTATTGCGATTTTGTCCATACTAAATAATGGTAAAGAATTTACTTGTAAAGTTTTTTTCARGATACCAASATTTTCCTAGACGAATATCTCTTTTGAAGGATGAGACAAAAGATTTCATATTTCCGAAAATCGCCGCAAAAATCGCCAGTGTAAACGGGGCTTTTCACATACCCCATGTACAGGGCTTGAAATAACGGCGAACATTAGACAATGACTGCGGTGTCATTCCCTAGAGTACCATTTCTTTATTGAACGATCGTGCAAGAGAAGACACATGAATGAATGTGTAAACGACAAAGAAACTTATTCTTAAGGGATGTCTGAAATGGGAAAATATTACGGCCATGCAAAAATGCTCTATTGGAGCGTAATACATACGACAATCACGGCATTCGATTAGTGCAGTTTTCGTATAACTGTGAAAAGCTCAGTGCCGTAAACGTGACGTGCCGTGACACTTTCTAGAATTTTAATTGGCTGATTTTTTTTCACGCGCAATATGATTGGTCTAAAAGTGCCGTGATCTTGGCGTGACCGTGTCCGCGCCGTGTTTATGTCGTGTTCCGGGTATTTGATTGGATGAAGAGTAAATTATCGTGCAATGTTATTGGTCTGGTGTATCCCTTGCAGTGTCACGACCGTGTTCGTGCCGTGAGCTTTTCACAGCCATACGAAAACTGTAATATAAAAACACTTACTTACAGCTTATCAATCAATGTTGGATGTACCCTGCAAACTAGCACGCTCCTTGGCAGCGCAAGTTAAAACCCAATGCCAGTAAAATAGTTTAGGCGCAAAAAAATGCAATACGAATCAATTTTGGTGAACTTTCACTTGTATAAACAACGTATGAACACTGGTTTGCCTGGCGACTGCTGTAATACGGACTACAGAATCGCGCAACATCGTTTCAAATGGAAGAGAGAGTTTCGACTTCGTGTAACAATGCCAATGTGTTGCGCGCAGTGGTATAATACAAGCGACTTTTGCTCTGCAGCTTGCACCAACTTTGACTTATAAGACGTCGAGCCCGGGAATCGTATTAGTTAGAGAAGAAGCATGAGCAGCGCACGCCATCCTTGTTTTCGCTTTATTCACTATCCAAAGCGTTTATATCTCGCTTATTGAGTGCAAGCAATAAAGTCCGTATTTTTCTGCTGACGGATGATGTTTACCTTTCTAGAGGGGCTTGCATACATCATGAATGAGCTGTTTGGTGGAGTAGTGTATGCTGGGATAGATACCGATAAACACAGGTATCCCATAGGTAAGTGTTGTTATTCTTATCAATATTCAAAGCAATATATCACACCTTTCCTTAAATAGCGTTTTCGCTACTTCTGATGATCTGATCGCCTAGCAACAGTCACTAGGAAGATAGAACAATGAATGCGGCATCGGTGTATTGTTTCTGTGTTAATTCTCAGTTTTGTTACTATGGTTACATGATCTGATCGCCTAGCAACAGTCACTAGGAAGATAGAACAATGAATGCGGCATCGGTGTATTGTTTCTGTGTTA